ATCTCAGTAGCTGGGATTACAGGCACGCGCCACCATGCCCAGCTAATGTTTTGTATTTTTAGTAGAGATGGGATTTCACCATGTTGACCAGGATGGTCTCAATCTCTTGACCTTGTGATCCACCCGCCTCAGCCTCCCAAAGTGCTGGGATTACAGGCGTGAGCCACCGCGCCCGGCCGGGGTATTAGATCTTGACCTTCAAAAAGATTATAAACCACTGTCTTAAAGAAATGTCTGCCACTCATGTGATCTGACCCAAAATATTGATGGTTTGTGTCTTTGTTTGGTTTACAAATCCGATGACAGATGCTTCGTTCAGCTTTCTTCATGAACGTCTCAGAAAGAAAACCTGGTTGTTACATAAAATTATTAAGTTTTGTGCCTTGATATTATGTTAAAAAAATTTTTCCCTTGGACTTATAGCCAAATGTTTCTCTCTGTTTTTCTAAGTATCTTTTCATGTGTTTAATGGGGGAAAAGTTAATAACGTCTTATCAAAACAGCCAATGAAACTTCTCTAAATGGTACACATTACTAAGTTTTGGTTAATGGAATTTTTGTTAATATTTCAAGACGGAAGCTATTTTAATGTAATTTCTATATTTGTCTCCCCAAGAATCGAAAAAGTATGGGTTCGAGATGGAGCTGCATATTTTTATGGCCCCATCTTCATTCACCCAGAAGAGACGGAGCACGAGCCCACAAAAATGTTCTACAAAAAAGAAGTATTTCTGAGTAATCTGGAAGAAACCTGCCCCATGACATGTATTCTTGGTAGGTATTTGTGCTTTTTTATTTAATCATGTTTATTCCATCAAAATTGATTACTACTTCTGTGCTAGGCACTGTTCAAGATGTTAGGTATATAGCAGTGCCTAAATCTAAATCTCTGTTCTCTTATGTTGGGGCAAAGGTTGGGGAGTCAGTAAATAAATTTAAAAAATAAATATATAGAATATCTGGTAATTAGGGTACAAGCAAACCTCTCACCTTACCCTTCCAAAGGCATGCCACCACACCCAGCTAATTTCTGAAGGATAGTTTTGCTAGGTATAGAATTCTCCGTTGATACTTTTTTTGTTCATGTCTTTTTTTTTTTTTTTTTTTTTTTTTTTTGAAACAGAGTCTCTCTGTCACCAGGCTGGAGTGCAGTGGTGCCATCTTGGCTCACTGTAACCTCCGCCTCCCAGGTTCATGCTGTTCTCCTGCCTCAGCCTCCCAAGTCGCTGGGACTACAGGTGCACACCACCACGCCCAGCCAATTTTTGTGTTTTTAGTACAGATGGGGTTTCACCATGTTGGCCAGGATGGTCTCGATCTCTTGACCTCATGATCCACCTGCCTTGGCTTTCCAAAATGCTGGGATTACAGGCGTGAGCCACCATGCCCAGCCTTGTTCATGTCTTTCATCAAATTTGGGGAGTTTGGGGCCCTTATTTCTTCAAATATTCTTTCTGCTCCTTTCTCTACTTCCCTCTGGAACTCTCATTATACTTATGTTGGTGTGCTTAATGGTGGCTCACAAGTCTCTCAGACTCTTCATTTTTCTTTACCTTTTTTTTTTCCTTTCTGCTTCTCTGTCTGGATAACTTCAAATATCCTGTCTTCAGGTGCACTCATTCTCTGCCTGCTCAGATCTTCTGTTGAACCCTTCTAATAAATTTTTCATTTCAGTTATTATACTTTTTAGCCCTAGAATTTCTATTTAGTTTTTATAATTTGTCTCATTTGTATTCACTATTTGCTAAGACAGTTTACTGGTTTCATTTAGATCTTTGAGTATATTTAAGACAGTTGCTTTAAGGTCAGACATGGTGGTTCACACCTGTAATCCCAACACTTTGGAAGGCCAAGGTGGGCGGATCACCTGAAGTCGGTAGTTTGAGAACAGCCTGCCCAACATGGTGAAACCTCTTCTCTGCTAAACAACAGCAACAAAAATTCAAAAAATTTAGCTGGGCATGGTGGCACATGTCTGTAGTCTCAGTTACTCGGGAGGCTGAGGCATGAGAATTGCTGGAACCTGGGAGGTGGAGATTGCAGTAAGCCAAGATCATGCCATTGCACTCTAGCCTGGATTACAAAGTGAGACTTTGTCTCAAAAAAAGAGACAGTTGATTTAAAGTATTTATGTAATAAGTCCAATGTCTGGACTTCCTCAGGAACAATTTCTATTCATTTTGTTCTTTCCTATGAATGGACTTTGCATGCCTCATAATTTTTTGTTGAAAACTGGACATTTTGGATATTACAGTGTGATAACTCTGGAAATCCGATTCTCCCCATCTTCAGGCTTTGTTCTTACTACTTGTTATAGGTTATGGTTGTTTGTTCAGTGACTCTTCTTTTTTGTGTGTGTGTGTGTATTCTTGGCTGGGCACAGTGGCTCACACCTTTAATCCCAACACTTTGGGAGGCTGAGGTGGGCAGATCACTTGAACCCAGGAGTTCGAGACCAGCCTGGGCAACATGGCGAAACCCTTTCTCTACAAAAAATACAAAAATTACCCAGGTGTGGTGACCTGTACCCATGGTCCCAGCTACTCGGGAGGCTGAGATGGTAGGGTCAAGGCTACAGTAAGACATGATCATGCCATTGTACTCCAGCCTGGGCAACAGAGTGAGACCCTGTCTCAAAAAAAAAAAAGATTTTGTTGTTGTTGTATGTGGTCACTATATTCTCTGTTCGATAAGCTTAGTGATCAGCCAGTGATTTTACAGAGGTTTTCGTAAATGCCTGGCACCAATAAAACCACAAAACTCCCCATCTTCACAGCTGATTTCTCTGTGTATGTTGGAGCACACCTTCAACACTCAGCCGTGCAGATTACAACTCTGCTTTGCCTTTACTTCCTGCTTGTACAGAACTTGAAAGTCAGCCAGAAATGAGATCTTAGGGCTTTCTTAGGTGTTTTCTGAGCACGTACACTATTGTTGGCATGTGAAATGTAGGAGTGGCAAGCTCTAAGGGCCATTCGTTCACAGAATGGTCCTTTCTGAGCATGTACACTATTGTTGGCATGTGTATGGCCTTCTAAGCTCCCAGTAATATATGGAAACTTTTCAGAACCCTTATTCCCCTTAGCATCTCACTCCCCACCTTTTCCTCTGAGGCCTTTTGTCATATCTACTGTTGGCCCCAACTGATACCCTGGCAACAGCTGGTTCATTTGACCTTAAATGTGTTGTGGTTTGAATGTTTGTGTCTCCTTCAAAATTCATGAGTTAAAATGTAATCCCTAGTGCAACAGTGTTGGGAAGTGGGGACTTTTAGGACATGTTTAGATCATGAGGGCTTGTCCTTGTGAATACAATATTGCTGTTATAGAAAGGGCTCATGTCGGCCCAGGGCAGTGGCTCACACCTGTAATCCGAACACTTTGGGAGGCCAAGGCGGGCAGATCATGAGGTTAAGAGATGGAGACCATCCTGGCCAACATAGTGAAACCTCGTTTCTACTAAAAATACAAAAAAAAAAAAAAAAAAAAAAAATTAGTTGGGCACAGTGTCGTGGCACCAGTAGTCCCAGCTACTTAGGAGGCTGAGGCAGGAGAACTGCTTGAACCCGGGAGGTAGAGGTTGCAGTGAGCCAAGATTGTCCTACCACACTCCAGCCTGGCAACAAAAAAAAAGGAGGGGTGGGTGCTCATGTAAATGGGTTTGCCCTGTCTTATGAATGGATCTTGGACTTTCCTGCTTCCAGAACTGTGAGACAACTGTTCTTTATAAATTACCCAATCTGTGGTATTTTGTTGTAGGAACACAAACAGACTAAGACATAATGTTTTTGACAAAAGAAGCTTAGCCACTTCTCCATCCTGAGAGAATTCCAAGTTAAGCAAAATAAAGGCAAGCACTTTGCATTAGTGTTTAGAAAGCTACCTGACAGGTCAAAACAGATGACCACAGTTCTTTGAGCATAGAGCTGCATTGCTTCCACTATCACCAGAATCTCACAACAGGAATGGAGGCTGCCATCTTTAAGACTGCCACTGGGACAGAAAGTAAGGGATGGAGTGAGGATAAGTTAAAATGCTACAAAGCTCTCCTGCCAAGTTTCAGTCACTTTTTTTCTTACTTAAGCATTTGCTTGGTTGCTGTAAACCTTTGACTATCTTCCAGAGTTTCAGTGAAGTTTATTCTGCGTTTTCACTGTTTCTCTGAAGGAATGGCCCTTAGAGCTCACCGCTCCTCCATTTTCACTGACAGAAACTGACGTAATTTCTTTCTAAAGATTCTTGTTAGAACGTGTTGCATTCTGGCCTGGCACAGTGGCTCATGCCTATAATCCCAGCACTTTGAGAGGTCGAGGCAGGCGGATCACCTGAGATCAGGAGTTTGAGGCCAGCCTGTTCAATGTAGTGAAACCCCATCTCTACTATACAAAAATTAGCCAGGCGTGGTGGCATGCACCTGTAATCTCAGCTACTAGGGAGGCTGAGGCAGGAGAATCATTTGAACCTGAGAGGCAGACGTTGTAGTGAGCCAAGATCAAGCCACTGCACTCCAGCCTGGGTGACAGAGCAAAAAGAAAGAAAAAAAGAAAATGTGTTGCATTTTACAGTTTATGTACCAGTTTTATATCTAGGATCTCATTAAATTCTCAACATAACCCTGTAAGAAAGAATGACCAGGCGTGGTTGCTCACGCCTATAATCCCAGCACTTTGAGAGACTGAGGTGGGTGAATCACGAGGTCAGGAGTTCAAGACCAACCTTGTCAACATAGTGAAACCCCATTTTTACTAAAAATAGAAAAAATTGGCCAGGTGTGGTGGTGGGCGCCTGTAATCCCAGCTACTTGGGAGGCTGAGGCAAGAGAATCGCTTGAACCTGGGAGGTGAAGGTTGCAGTGAGCAGAGAGCATGCCACTGCACTCCAGCCAGGGCGACAGTGCAAGTCTCCGTCTCAAAAAAAAAAAAAAAAAAAGAAAGAAAGAAAGAAAGAAAGATGATGATATTCTCAGAAAGGTGAAATTACTACTCAAGGAGTGGGCCAGAACTAAAACCTAGGTTTTCCTACTACTTCTTTAGCTGGTCTACAGCTAGCTGGGACACTTGTGATGATCAAAGGAGGTGCCAGCAATATTTGGTAGGACAACAGGCATACAATGAAATATAAGGTAAAACCTAAAAGAAAATGCATCTAGTAATCACAAAGTGGTATTTCAGCCTAGCTTGTGGAATTCACTGCCCCCAAGCCCCCAAGGAAAAAGGGTTTGTTACATAAGCTTTAGAGAATTTATAATTTAATTGTATTAACTTTACACACTATTAAATGTAAATCATATTTTTCCACTTCTTTGTCTCTGAAATAGAAGTTTTACAGATAATTAGATGAGGTACCACTTTTTCATCTCCTGTTACATATGCAGAAGACAATCCTGTTTTTCCAACGGTTATGTTCTTTCATCAGTTTTGTTGAAGAATTGTTTTCATTAACTTAAACAGTAATCAAGCTGGGCACAGTGGCTCATGCCTGTATTCCCAGCACTTTTGGAGGCTGAGGCAGGTGGATCACTTGAGCTCAGGAGTTCAAGACCAACCTGGCCAACATAGTGAAATGCCATCTTTACTAAACATACAAAAAAAATTACCCAGATGTGGTGGCACATGCCTGTAGTCCCAGCTGCTCAAGAGGCTGAGGGAGGAGAATCGCTTAAAACTGTGATACAGAGGTTGCAGTAAGCCGAGATCGTTCCACCACACTCCAGCCTGAGTAACAGAGTGAGACTCTGACTCAAAAAAACAAAAACAAGAAATAACTTGGCTGGGC